ACGCTCTTCTCAGCATGAACACCTTTTTTTGTTTGTTTGAAAAAACATAACATAATATTTAACCACCAATCGAAGAAAGATCTGTATCTATGTCTATATATATATATGTATGTACCTGGCCGTGGTGTGTAATCTCCAAGCAACCAGGCTGTTGAATGAAGGGCTCCCCGTCTATTTGAACAGGGAATGGACTCGATACATGTATCCTTATCGCTTTTCCTTGCGCTAGCCTCCTTGCCTGTGACAGTCCAACCTGCAAAATCACTTTCTTTGAAAATCTCTGCGAATAAAGTGATATATATACACACAAAACTAAGGAGGGAGCCTTAAGCGTGGGTTGAGCTCGGACCTGAAGCTTGCCGAGGTGCCATGCTCCGTGGACACACACAACCTCCAGCATTTTGTCGTGCATCGTCTGAACGCTGAAGTTATCGTCGTGTTCGTATTCGTTTTGCCAGAGATCCACTCCTCCCATGTAGCTTCCGATGTTTAGTACTATTAAACCCTCCGAATCCTGATTAAGAGGAAAAATAATCATGGGTAAGATGACTACACATTGTTTTGTGTTTTGATTAAAGGGAAGTAGTACCTTGGGGATCTCAATGTCTTTCCCATCGACTTCAAGCCAAACTTGCCACGGTAAATCAGCACATGCTCGATCCATGATTTCCCTCGCTCCTTCTTTGGCATACCGCAATTTGTTAACAAACTACATTCCGAATAAAAGAACAAACCAAGATATCATCAAGCCTCATGCTTTTCCTTTCCATAACCTGTGGACTTACTTAATCAGAGCAGTGAAACATCCATTGCTCTATAGAAAACTGTGTGTTCCATTTTAGCTTTCGCCGGTCAAAATATTCTCAACCTTTGTAACATTCTCCAAAGTAAAATAGAATCATAAGGACATGCTTTGAGATCCATGGCTATACTCTGCTTCTTTAAAAAGTTAGGTCATGCACTAATATGCCCATCAGATCAATCCATGCTGTCTATACGTGGCACAGATGAGATGTCGCCATAGAAACAACTAACATATTAAGCTTATGAAGAAATCTGGGATCAAACCAAGTGATCATTCAATCACAGGGAAAATCAACAAAGTACCTGACTACAAAATTTCGCAGGATTTTCCTGCCGCATCGTGTGAAATTCATAAGCAACCTTTGCATCACAGCCAATACCTAAAGAAAGCAAATGTCAGCTACTGTATGCGATCCAAGAAAGGTGAACCGAAAGGATATACTCTGTAAATGTACCTAAGTAATTCATCATAAACTTGGATTCTTCTCTAGCTGGAAAATTTTCTGAACTCTCATCTCTAATCTTTACACTCCAGCGGTCCAACATTGTAACTGCAGCATGGTCAATCTCTTGCAAAAACGTTGTCAGACTTCCTTGTCCATCTACTACTGAAAAACCTCCTCCCCACTGCAAAACTCTTGATAAATCATTTCCTGTGCCTAGGGGAAGAATGGCAACAGGTGGAGGGGATTCAAAATTGTGTTTCTCAATTGCATCGAGCACCCAAGCAACCGTTCCATCCCCCCCACAAACCAAAACTCTGAAGTACTTCACTTTGCTAAAAAGGTCAAGACCAACATCTGGCCCCTGACAGGAGTCGAGCTCAAAGACCTGTAGATCAGCCAAGTTAATTACCAAATAACGATACGAAAAGCCAACAGATGAAGTCAAAGACGACCAAGCAATAAACCTTGTTAGCCTTTCTAATGTCAGAAAATGATACTGGTGACAGATTCATGGTTTTTTTAAAACGAATTGCTTAAATTTCATGTATGAAATGAATCATTCAATCGATTACTTTTACAATAACTAATTTCACAAATTCTACGTGACAGTAGAAAGAAAATAAAAAATCATAGTCACTTGTCCAGCAGATCTCTGATCAATAACGATTAGTAGCTGAAGCACCAAACACATAACAACTTAATGATGTTACTAAACACATAACACCTAAGTTAAAAAGCTTTTGCTCTGATCCAGATATAGCAGAGACATGTATTGATATCAAGTAATGATGTATCTCATAGTGTGCCCATGGGGTGAAGTATTAGATTATAACCATTTTTTTTTCTAATTTGGTGATTCAGTTTACAATGTCAGTATTACAGAGATAAAGCTCTAAATATTACCTGTACAGGATTCAATAACATGTTAAGTCTCCAATGAAGAAAAGGACCAAGTTGACCTCCACTCTTGGCATTAATGAATACCAAAAGAGGTCTGGCATCTGATGGCAAATCGGCCAAGGTAAACTTCTTCATGAGATTAAAACCTTTGCTCTTGCCTTTTTTCTGACATAAACCATTTTGCATACACTTCATAGTGGAAATGGAAATATCTGAAACCTTCCCGAAGCACTCCATGCTCCTCTTCTTCCGATGTTTCTTCACTACAAGCCCGTCAACAATCGGATTGCTAGCGGAATTCTCCAGCAGCTTACCACTAAAAGCTTGCCCATCTCCATTTTTTCCCCTGTAGCGTTTCCTTCTCATCTGCCCTTGAATAGATGAAAGTTTGTTTTCGATAGAATTCAACACTCCAACTACCTCATTTTCTTCTTTGGCCTTTACATAGAGCGGAGAGAGGATCGCCCTTCTAAGAGAGCCCAGATCGCAAACATCACCAGATTCCTTAGACATTACCATGTGGCACTTTACATGTATAAGGCGCTGGCACCAAAGACAGTGCCACATAGGAGAAGCTTCGATAAAAGGAATGCCACATGGTTCATCACAGTAGAAGCAAAAGGCAGACATGTCTGCATTATCATCCATGTTAACCCATCGCTCCGACCAGTGGTGTCGGACATGGCTAGATCCAGCTTGGGTAGCACATTTACAGTCTTTAGCAGCATTGCCCGAGCAATAAAAGTGAGCTGCTACACCACAGACAAAGCATCGGTGTACAGGAATACTCAGAGCTGCCTTGTTAGAAACATTTTGACAAGGTACAAGAGAAGACAAACAAATACAGCAGGTGGATGGCTGTTGCCCATAACCATAATCATCTGTCCATATATGATGAGAAAATGGAACCCTAAGTCTTTTCCATACTTTTTTCTTTTCTCTGGCAGCAGCTTTAACACAATTTAAAGAGGTTCTCCTTTGCCATTTCAGAAATGTGTATACAACAGCCAGAAGCCCAAATGATCCAGTCACCAGCCATCCAAGGATAAACAGATTATAAGCACCAGAACCTACAAACCTCCTTATAAGTGAGAACCCCAATTCTATCATTGCAAAGCTAATCGGTCATCTCCAACTACGAGTGCTTGTGCCAGCAAACATATATGTTCCTTGGACCAGAGGGCTGCTTGTCAAAGAATCCTGAACCCAGAATCAGGAAGACCGACAATATACATCAGAAGATGTGGTCATCATAACATCAAAGTTACGAAATGGACAGGGACAATGAGGAGAATAAATAAAAAAAGCATGAGAATAAACCAAGAAATCACAATCAGATATGGAGGAGCAAATGCTGCATCAGAAAACACAGATTTATTCCGGCACAACAATACAAACTGAAATTCCATTTCAGAAAAAAGCTAATGGCTCGCTTCCTTGTCCCCTTTCAATCAATACGGTGAAGCATAACACTTAACAGATTAACATTCACAGGCACAAGAGCAACATAAAGAAAAAAGTACTCCCAGACAAAATCTTGAACAAGGAAATTAGTATTTCTATTTAGTGCATAAAAAAAACCGTACGGCAAGTACGGTCAACCTTGTCCAAATTTCGCAATTTTGAAAAGAAATATCAAAAAATCCGCAAAAAAAAATCAATCAATCCATCTAAACAAAACCAAAAACAAACGAAAAGAAACAATTCGATACAAATCGAGCACAATGTAGCAAGAAAGGGAAACAAAAGAAGTAGAGCTGGGGAGAGAGAATCGATCTAGTCGAGAAATCAGTCAACATTCCAGATCTGACGCGAAAACGGGGCGAGAAGCTCATAAACAAATCGTAGGAATCGCCAGGTACAAGAGAAGAAGAAGAAGAAGAAGAATCTAACCGAGCTCGCGACGACGATGAGGAAGGGCTGATAAACCCTAGATTTTCTGCGGACCGAAATATCTCCTCCTCTGTTTGTTCTTCGAGCAGAGAGAGAGAGAGAAGAGAGAGAGAGAGAGAGAGACCGCGTTATATAAGGAAAGGTTAAAGAGCAAAAGGCGGGATTCGCCTTACGCAACAAACGCGCATTTTCCCCCGCGGCTTCCCCGTGCCGCACGACGTGCGTACCACGGGATCGGGTGGGACGGGACGGGACGGGAATCTCCGCATAATGAACATCTTAAATTACCATAATACCCTTAAGCGACAACTCCATTAAATTTAGCATGTGATTGAAAAAACCCCCCCATTCCGGTCTAATTTAGACTATTTTATTCGATTTAAATTGGGTTTAAATTATTCGAACATTCTTCCTATTTTAAAATACATTTTCAGTCATTTTATTTTATTTTATTTTTTATTTTGTTTTTGTGTGCAATTAGGGTAAGGTAGTCAACGTCACTCTGAATATATATCTTCACATGCTATGTAATACAACAAAACAATCACTCTTTCGTTTCAAGAAAAAAGAGAGCTTTAAACTTAACCATCACATGCCCACATCATGCCTAGTACGTTACACCACTTTCAAGAAAGAGAAAAAAAAAAGTTTGAATCTTTGACAATGGGTGGGTTTCCTTTGACATAATTGTTGGTAACTTCCACTGATTTTTGGATCAGATTGAGCGAATAGATACGTTCGGGGTAAAAGTTGAGAGTTTTAAAAGCTTCGGGTACTTTATGTAAACGAAGGGTACATTTTCCATCTTAATGTAAATATGTTCTGTGTGAATCAAGAAAACATGACATTTTTCACTTTGGATGAGTAAGTGTAGAAATTTGCGGAATAATATTTTTATTGATAATCAAAATTACATATAAATAGATGAGAGTCTTATATTGAATAAGTAAACCAGACATAATGATAAATATTTCTAAATATATATTTTCCGGATTTTATAAGATCTCCATTATACGATATATCTCATAATATTCTTTAAGATCCGGTATATCTCAACATCCCCTTCAAGTTGAAGCGTGGAAGATCACGAAACGCCCAACTTGCTGAAAAGATGATCAAACGCATACCGCTTGAACCACATCACCTTGCGAACTCGTGTCAATAGAAGACATAACTAAAAAAAATCAAACAAACGAATACGCTGCAACTTTGGCACCATGCACAAAAGAATCATTTGATGATAACAAAAAAAGGACGACAATCACGGTGCAGAAGGAAGTCTCGGGAATAACTTTGATTCATCCGAGATTGAAAGGCAACTACGCGAAAGCGTTTAATGACAACAAATTTTTTGGCAAGAATAAGATGATTGGCGGTTATGCGAATAATCTTTAGAAACATGTGGGATTATGAAAGAAAATAAAAAAAACAAAAATAAAATGACTCTCTTATTCTTAAAAAAAACTCGAAATGATATTATCACTGGATCGGTATACCATCATCTTCATCTTCACTCTCATTATCGATCATCATTTTTATGAAAAAAACAACAAATTAGAAAAAAACCAGGAGCTCTGATACCATGTAGAAATTTGCGGAATAATATTTTTATTGATAACCAAAATTACATATTGATAAACCAGACATAATGATAAATATTTCTAAATATATATTTTCCGGATTTGATAAGATCTTCATTATACGATATATCTCATAATATTCTTTAAGATCCGGTATATCTCAACAGTAAGAACCTCTAGAAAACAAAAAGAATCATCGACAGTTAGTCTGTGTGTCTGTCTCTCTTGTTCAAAGGCCAAAGCAACAGTCACAGCGAATGAACAAGTTCCTACATCATGTCCTCACACTTAGCCCGAAAAAGAAAGAAGAGAAGAGGTGAAGGGTTCGGAACTTACACTTTCCGCCCCGTGGAAGTCCCGACCCGCTAAATGCATTTTCTTTTTTCGTTGTTTGGCACAAAAAGGCGGAAACTTTACGCAAGTGGGACGAGAAATACGCCTTGAACGGCTGATTCCTTGACGATTTTTCTCGGCCTTTGCAACCACTCCGTCGATGCCTCCAACCATATAGAATTGATTGCTCGGGTAGATTTAACGGGAGGTGATGTGTTGCAGGGAGTACTCGATGGACTGTACGATGATCTATCCGAGCAATCATTCTATATGGTTGGTGGCATCGACGAGATGGTCCAAAGGCCGGGAAAATCGCCAAGGAATCAGCCGCTTAGGGTCTATTTCTCGTCTCACTTGCGTAAAGTTTCCGTCTTTTGTGTCAATAACGAAGAAAAAGCAAAGCTTTTGGTGGTACCGACAGAATGTGTAAGTTTCCGGATTTGTATTCTCTATACTGCCGGAAAGTTGCTCCATTTTTTTTCATTGAGCTTTGAATGAGGAAGAACAGAACCGAAAGTGTTGTCGGATTCTTAATCACAATGGATCTTCTTCTGTGTTTTTTTTTTTTTTTTTTTTTAATTAACGTCGATGCTCTGTTTTATTTGCCCATGAACGTTAAAAAACAGAGCAGGAGCTTTTTAATCAAGCATGGTTAGAAGTCGTGTTATATACGATAAAGGACAATTTCGTAACGCAAATTCTGAAAATATCCCATTTATATATTATCGTATTTATGGACAGAGATAATTTATAGATCAAGGTACTCTCTTTTTGAAGAGCTATTGTCGCTAAGTGTATAATTTATAAATTGAAATGGTACAATAACGCTTAAGGGTTTGATACTCAAACCCTCCCTCCATAGCCTTCTTTCATACTCTCTATAGAAACATCTTCTTGGCCACACTCCATAGAAACTAACTTCAACTTCTTCGGTTTGAGCTTATTTACCTCGGAACATCCACTCGATCGATCATGTCCAACGCCTTTTCCCGATCAATCCCGAAATCGAGAAGGGGTAGACCCGAGGGGAATCTCTTGATGACGGCCGATTTGCTTCTTCTCACCCGGGAATACCCGCTGCTCCTGCTCAACGGGTCGCACTTCCTCACTCTCGAGTTCTCGGAGTCGAAGTCTTGACTCTTGCTTACCCCTGGAACCCTCTTCTTCTTGCCCGCCTCTTGGATCATCTTTCTCTCTTCTTCCGTCACGGACGGCACGCTCGGCGCCTCGGGTTTGTTGTCGTGCTGCTGATTGTTCGTATTCTCCAAGGGCTTGAGCGGAGAAATTCCATGGCCACCTCGTTCCTTACTCTTTGCTTTCGTGACCAGATGCTGAAGCCATAGTATCTGTTCAAGAATGCAGGTTTCGGCCTTTTCTTTATCAGCGTGATACAGCGTTTCTATACGCAGTATGTCACCCGATCCCGTCTTTTTATCAAAATCAGTCCTGCATGCGTAGGAAAAGAAAAGGTTTGATAATACTTTGAAGAAGGAGAAGACAAACACGAGGAAATAACAGACCCAAAAACGTGAATGCTGCTACATTCACGCAGCTTGTTTCGTGGTTACTCATTGCTCACCCGGAATTCGCCCACTCGCCCACCCAACCGAAACCATGATGAGCCCTGTGTCGGAACCGTATAGAAGCATATTAGTTGGAAAAGAAAAAGACAGTTTCATAGAGAGGAGACATAATTTTCAGCAACAGTTGTCTTTTACTTGGCTGTGTTAGCAGCAACAGGGACAAGCCAATGCAGTGTCTTCTCCATCTCATCCTTGATCTGTGTGACACTAAGCTGTACACAAAGAACACAACAGTACCATCAAAATCGACCGGAATTTCTGTTTCAATATTTTAAAGAAAACCCATAAAACTCTCATTTCTTATGATCAAGTAGAAAACATCTTATTCTAATCTTTTTCTACACTTTTCTGATGGACCGTTATTCCCGATTTTTACATTTTATTCGCGAATTACTTGGATGTAAGAATTTCTCTCATTAGTAGTCCATGGGTATTTATTTAGATCAAATTCACAATCCATTGGAAGTTCAAACGCTTTACATGAGTATCATAGAAGGTTTCACGGTATGTTTCAAGCTCTCACCATAAATTAACACCATTGTTCAAGCCCCAACACACACTGGAAAGCACAGAAGAAAGAACGTACCTCCTCCTTACCGACATGAAAAGTTTTAACCTTAGACCGAAGGGCCAACTTTACACTTGGCGGCAAGCTCTGGTACAACGTCTCCTTTGCATTTGAAGTTATAGAGCTCGAACGAGCAACCTGACACGACATCGCATCGTAACTTACTCAGTAAAAACGCCATTACCATGTGATTAAATCTCCCTTACGATAATATACGACACAACACAACCGAGTGGTGAAAAGTACACTTCGTCCCGGAGCACTCACAAGGGTATCGATCTGCATAATTATATTGGCATAGTGTAAAGCAAGGCCAGCAGGTCCCAGTCTTTGATTACAACCAGCAGGTCCTTTCTCTATTGGTTGATCATCTAAGGAAAACATAACAATGGAAACCCGGTTGGTAGTAAACAGATACTTTCTGCTTAACTGATGTGAGAAAAAGAACAACTTGGGCAGATCAGGAATAGTTAAATCTTAACTTCTCTATCATCATTAAGACGGCTTCCGTCCAAAATACACATTCCGGGATATATAAACAAGGAGAAACTTACATACCGGCACCTCCAAATGCATTGTGGATCTCCAGTAGCAAGAAATGTACAATATCTACAAGCTTCTCCAGCACCTGAAATACAAATCAGAGGGTAATTCAATCACCAGAGTAACATATTTATGTCCTAATGTGTTTCTAACAACAGACCGTATGTTTAGGCGGTTTCTAGCGGTAGCATTGACAAGAAAGACAGTACTAGAATTAGATTAAACACCGATACATTTTTTTTCTAAATGACATGTCTTGTACAGTTCAAAATGATGGGATATTTGGTTCATTGAAGGGTGAAACTCTCGATATGCCACATTTACAGAAAATACTCGATAGCCCAAACGGTAAAAGATTACGCACGCATTAAAATGCAATTAACACAAATGATTGCTATCTTCATTAACATTCTCCCTATCTTAACAAAAGCCTCTTTGAAAATGCATGGGAAGCAATATATGCACCTCTTCAAAACTTCTCGACCACAATGACTTTTTCCTTAAGCTTTTCACTTGCTTTCTTTGGGCTTTCAGTTCTGCCTTTAAGATAGCAATGTTATCACCTACAACCGAAAGAGAGAATATCAACGAAAATCAAGCTTTTGAGCCACCGAAATCATTGAAGCGAGTACTCAGTCTTTGATAAGCTAAGCTACCCTTATTGTTGCCAGCTGAGTTGTCCTCTTCTTGATGCTTTTGCTCATAGTCTTGCTCCAATCGGTCCAAGACCTGAAGTTCTTGGTATAGTTCCTGAAGACCAACAATACCGAATCCATAATTCTGAGATATCAAAGAGACAACTAATCTGCAATTTTTTTTATTCTAGCAAATTCCATGTCATGATTCCTATATCTTTAAACTGTAAGAAGTTCACTAATAAAGGAGTTCCTAAGCGCGGATCACCATACAGCAGAACAAATTTAAAAAAAAAATGTTCAAAATTGTGGAATTTCAAATTTAGAAAATTCCATTGATAACATCTCCAGATCTTTCTTTCCACTTTTGTTTCTTACAGCATGACTGCCTCCACGCATTTGCAGCTACTGATTCACCGGGGAAGCATATATATATTAGCAGCAAAAACCCTTATTTACTTTTTATCGAAATCAGTTTCCAATAGAGATTTGTTAACATAGTTTTTCTTACATGTAATAAGCAAACTTACAGCAGTATACTGTACTAAGACCATGAGCTGTTCAACCACCAACTTTGCATCTTCCTTAAGCTGCCTTTGAGGGGTTAGTTCTTTGCTAATCCTGGAGAGAGAACCAATTGTTTCAACAACTAAAAAGCTAAGATAAGATGCACAAAGTAGAATTGAATTTCAAGCAACGAGATGGGGTGTAAAACTACCTGTCGAAATAGCGCTGTAAATTGTGCCATTGAATGTCTTTGGATCGATTTCCAAATCGAACAACTTCTCCAGAGAAAATTTTCAGCTCTTCCCTATGTAAACAATAAGTTAAACATTGTGGCAATGATTTTAAATAATTGAAGAAAAGAGGGAAAAAACAAAATCATTCAAGTGACATGAACTCAAAACTCTCACCTCTTGTCTGATGCAACAAGTCTGAGGAGTTCATCCACATCATTTGAGACTAGATTCTGCACTCCCTCGGAGTAAAGGACAACTTCTTTCAAATGCTTAACATTCCTTTCTGAGAGGGAATGCATGAGATTTGAACCTTTGACTATCGTGTTTGCCACCTCGAAAGCCAAGATGCCAAGTTCATTGCCTTTAGTAGCCATTCCAGAAGTAAATCCACTACTGCTAAGATCCGTCATGCTACTACCGAGAGTATCCAGTACATCCTTTGCTCTACCGAGCCCAGCTTTTCCTAATTGCACACTTACCTCAGTAACCTGCCATGTTTTATCAATTAAGATTATTATTCAAAACATTTCAGAGCATTCATATAGCGAAATACAGCCCTGTTACCGAAAGATTTGCTTCCGGGTCAAGAAGATATAATTCTAAATCATAATTTATCGGTCATCATCACTGCAAAAGGCTTTAGAAACTCATCCTGCTTAATCATATCTCCATCCTCCGATATAGAACACTATTGCTGTCTAGACCAATGTCCAGCAAAACAAATTGAAATGCTTCCTCAACGTCGGTCAGATCAAGCCAAATGCACAATGAGAGCATATTCACAGTTCACATTTCAGTTCCTGTTGCATTATTCTGAACTGACCTTTGCAACTGCAGTTTGTGTAGACCTCGAAGACCGAGATTTGTGAGAGGGAACCCTGGTCAAGCGCGGAATCCCGTCATAGAAATCATCTTCTGCTCCCTTTTCACGGAATGAAAACACATCTTTCAGCGGCTTGTGGTCATGAACATCCTTGGCCATGCATTGCTTAGCATTTGGCACAATCAGACTGATGTGCCCAGTTGGTGGGTAATTCAAATCGGGTTTGTAACCATCCCCACGCACGCTTGAATCCGAATATTCACTCCCGAAGTTGATACCAAGGCTCTTGGAGCAAAACCCTCCCATATTCAAAGCCCCCAACTTCAGTTACCGATACAGATGACCAGTGAAGATCGGCTCAGAAAGATCGTCTTTCATTCAGAGACTTTGGTCCGAACGAGGGAGAGACATAGCCTGGAAGCAAGGAAAAGCGAGGATAAGCAGATCCAGAACAGGAAATAAAGCGGGAAGTAAAGATCAACAAACAGCAAACAAAAGTTTCCGGACAGAGGACAGAAACAAGAACAGGAAACCTAGGTCAACACTGCGCAGAAACCCACAAGCCAAGGACGGATTTTTACCCGAGAAACGCAGGGAAGAAGACTTACCCAGAAGAGAACAAGGCGAGAAAAGACGTGGGCGTAACAGATGAAGACCGATTTTTTCCAGTTTTCGGAGACGGAGCTTGTGATTCACGACAGAGAACAGTGGAAAGAAGGCGAGAGACGAGGAGGGAGAAGTAAATGTAAAAAAAGTCAAGGAGTGTGGTATGATCAGGAAAAGCGATTGACAAAAAATAAAAGCAGCAGGAGGAGAGAGGTCCACCAGATTGGCACATCTCGCGCCAACGAACAAACCAGCTTTGATGATACAAAATCAGGGGAAAAAAAAAGTCAATGCCTTTATGTTCTTCCCCTCCCTCCCAGATCTCAACAAGGAATACCTATGGAAACTTCAATCGTAAAAAAAGCAATGATCATTGATCATACGATTCACGGGATGGTGTTTCGAGCGTGGAATTGGTCAAATTCTTCCAAACCCCATCACGCTGCTGGGTGTTGACTCATCATCTTTGCCTTTTTGTTTTTACTCTTTCTTGTTTTTTATACTCTTTTTTTTTTTGTCCATTCGACTTCTCGACAATCAAATACACAGAGGTTAGTGATTCACGATCGTTGTGCTGTGGCCGAAGAAAGCGATTAGAGGTTAGTATCTGACATGCAAGAAACGGAAGAGTTTGGGTTTCAGTTCTTTGAATGTTGACCAAAGTTTTATTCTTTTTTGGGTAATCCCCCAAAAATTAAACATCTAACGAAATATACTAAGACTATATGTACTAATAATTGTATGCAACTATAAGTTGATATACATATGTGTGATTTTGATTTGGCTTAACTAAGTTAATGTTTGGTTCTCGGTTCGGATAAAAAATGTATATATTTTTTATAATCGAAAAATTTATCGGAATTTTCGATCCAATTAACACTTATCCAGACTTAAAAGACTGGTTGAATAATTACTATTTAAGGTATCCTGTGAAGATATTTTGACCTATGTCTTATCGGGATCTTGGGTATTAAATATTTTATCATACCTAAAAAATATTATGGAGATAATACATTTATAAGATCTTCTTTAAGAACTTTGATTTTATTTGTCTCGGATTAGATAACAATGTATATTCAATATATTTTATTCATTTGTGTAACATTCGAGTTCAAAATTGATAATAGGCGGATTTGTTATCACAAAAAAAAAATTGAAAACCTTCCAAACTTCTAATGTTATACATAGATATGCAACCAATAATTCAAACGTGGAAAAATGTTGAATAGAGAAAAGGGTGAAACAAAGACGAATAGAGCAAGGAGAATGATCATTTTTTTTCCCATCGGTATAATTTTGTAATAATCTTTTGATACACAATTTAAGAAAATTTCAATCTCCGTATTCTCTAGTGCTGTCCCCTAACATTGGAAAGTAATTATGTCAAAAATATCTTTATTTTGCTATTTTGACTTCAACACATACTCTTTTTTAATTGTAACTATGTAATCCATGTAATCACATTTGATTTCATTGATAATAACGTTAAATTTATTATGATCACATTGATTTATTGTATTCATCTTTTGCATATTTTACTAATCATTTGATAAAAATATTATAAAGCGCACGTTATTATTAATGAAATCAAATGTGATCGGATTATATTTCTGATCATATGGATCATAGGATCATTGTTGGAGAAAGAGTATTGTATTGAAATCAAAATAGTTTTAAAAAAAGAAATATTTTGATAATGATGCCATTTGAAATCCGCAACTAAAGCGATTTTTACCATTCAAACATTTGATACATGTTGGAGTGACTTTCCATGTGGAGGTCCACCGAACCCTCCTTGAAAAAAATTGTCCAAAGTAACATGGACCGTATTTTCATCATTTCCTTATTATTATATAAAAAAGACGCTCATATTGCGTTTACATGATGTATCAATAGCGTTATTATCATAATATTGCCCCCCCCCCCCAAAAAAA